CCGGGCTCCCATTGGCCCCCGCGCACGTCAATCATCAGGAGCGGCGCCACGCCCCGCCCACCCCGAGAGACAGCTCTGCCCCCCCCATTCCCCCCGGGATGGACCCGGCGCTGACCGGGRCACCGGGAGACAGCGACACGGGCGGGAATGGAGATGGGGGACTGCGGGAAAGGGACACCGCGCTGGGACCCGAGATACCGGCCGGGAACGGGGGCACAGGGCTGGGGACAGGGGTATGGCGCTGCGGACAGGGACACGGGGCTGGAACGGAGGTACGAGACGGGAACGGGGGCACAGGACCACGGGCTGGGGACGTGGGCATGGGCTGGGGGCAGGAACCTGGTGCTGGAACTGAGATGTGGGCCGGTAATGGGGTCACACGGCTGGGGGCAGGGACRTGGACTGGGGACAGGGATGTGATGCTGGAACGGAGGTATGTGCCAGGAATGGGGTCACAGGACGTGGCACAGGGACATGGTGCTGGAGACAAGGATATAGGCTGGGAACAGAGATATGGGGCCGAGAGACAGGAACATGGGGCTGCAGACAAYGACGTAGTTTGGGGGACAGGGACATCAGGCTGGGGACAGAAACAATGACTGGGGACAGTGATGTCGTTCTGGGGGACAGGGACCAGACCCTGGGGCTGGGACAGGAATGTGTCYCGGGGACAGAAATATAGAGCCGGTGGAGAGGGACATGAGGCTGATGGCATACAGTGGAGCTGGGGAAAAGGACGGAAGGCAGCGAGGGCTACTATGGGGCTGAGAGTGGTGGGGCTACCGACAGGAGCTGTATAAGRGGGTCAGGGTTTTTTTCACGAGTGGCTACCACCTTCTCACAGCAAAGTGTAACATGTATCTTACAGAGGAGGTGTCCCACAGAGGCACTCTGAGCACTACCTGAAGAGATGAGGGCATCATTTGACTGGAAACGATCTCATCACACTTTCCCAAATTCCCCTGACATCATCCCCAGACTCCCATGGTATCACCCTCCTCCTCGCCTATGAGGGAGGCAGCAGGTTGCCCATGGAAGTGCTCCTCTCCCATCCCGTGCTCCCCACGAACCACCCTGGCAGCTGCAGGGGGAGCAGCCACCCCACTGTACCCCAGCCTGACTGTGCAGCAACCCCAGAGCAGAGACCCCCTCCAGKTATGGATGAGGGTCCCCTCCCCAATGCCGACCTCACAGACACAGCTCCGGGGCCGGTGGCCTCTGGCACAGGGATGCACAAGRCCCATGGCCCCTCCAGGAGACAGCTGGTCATGCTCTCCTTGGGAATGGACAGGGGAAACTGTCTCCCCTTCCAGATAACCTCCAAAAGCTCCAAAATCCCACCAGAGCCCCATGGGACCAGCCTGAACTCTGTGTGGGCACCCATGGAGACCCCGGCCCGGGTGGGTCCCTCATGGGGAGCCAGCAGCCATCCTATGGGGAGGAAGGAGCACAGAGCCAGGGTGGGAGTGGGGACCCCACAGCCAMGTGGGTGTGAGGTCACGTGGGAAGAGCAGCGTGGGATGGAGGGCGCTAGAACATCCGGAACCATGAGCCGCACTTTAACTCCATATCCCTCAGGCATTTGAGACTGTCCCGTGGCCCCACAGCCCACTGGTGTGTGGGGTGTACCATGGCCAAACAACTGAGGCCATGGAAAACCAGCTGTGCCCATTGCAGGACACACGGGGGGTTTCRAGGCTCTCGAGGCGAGCAGAGGGGAACAATGCCCATGCACCTGCCCGTGCCTCAGTGGGATCCCATCCTGATGGCTCCCAGTGACCATCCTGGTCYAACCCTATCCCACTGTTTCCCCCACCCGGTCCTGTCCTATTTCCACTGCTTCCCCTGCCCCATCCCGTCCCGTTCCCCACCCGGTCCCACCTCTTCGCCCTCCAGTCCCTTTCCCGTCCCGTTCCCAGAGCTCCCCCCGCCCGTTCCCATCCCGTTCCCATYCCGATCCCGTGCCGTTTCCGTCCCGTTTCATCCYGTTCCATCCCGTTCCATCCCATTCCCGTCCCGTTCCCACTGCTTCCCCGGCCCGTTCCCTACCCATTCCCATCCCATTCCCATCCCGTTCCCATCCCGTTCTCATCCCGTTCCCATCCCGTTCTCATCCCGTTCCCATCCCGTTCCCATCCCGTTCCCATCCCATTCCCATCCCGTTCCCATCCCGTTCTCATCCCATTCCCATCCCGTTCCCATCCCATTCCCATCCCGTTCCCATCCCGTTCCCATCCCGGTCCCCCCGCCCGTTCCCATCCCGTGCGGTTTTACCCTCCGGCCGCCAGGGGGCGGTAATGCCCCGCGTGGCTGTTCCCCTGGCGGCGCTCTGTCCCGCCGCATGCCGGTCTCTGATTGGTGCGCGGCGGCAGCGGCGCGCCGGTGACGTCATTCTCAGTGGTCGTGCGGTCCCCGTGGGTCACCGGGACCCGGCCCAGCCGCGCGTCCCCCGCTCTGTCCGCTCTGTCCGCTCTGTCCGCTCCGCCGCCATGGAGTTCCCGTCCGCTCTGTTCCCCTCCTACTTCGGCGCCGGCCCGCCGCGGGAGGATGGCGGATCGGCGCTGGTCGCCGGCTGGGGCGAGCATGGGCAGGTGCTGGAGGCTGGCCCCGGCCGCCGCCAGGTGAGGGGGTGCGGACTGGCCGAGGGAGCCGGCGGGACACGCAGGGGCCGCTCTGACTCTCCCGTTCGCTCCCCGCAGGCTCAGCCGGCCTTCGTGCCCCGCCGCGGCGCGACGGGCGAGAGGTGGGAAGCCGCCGACGCTGCGGCCGTGCCGGTGCTGCTGTCCAGCGCAGGTGAGGGCAGTGGGAGCGGGAGGGAGCGCGCTGCACGGGGTTTGGGGAGGACATCCCTTCCACCTCTATCCCTGCCGCTGCCCCGCGCTGCTGAGCCGTGTCCCGGTGCTCGTATGGTGCCAGGTGGCCGCTGCTCTCTCCCCGCAGGCTGCTGGATTCCCTCACCCGCACCGCAAGACATCCTGTATCGCAGCAGCCTGTGCAAGAAGCTCCGGGTAGGCAAGTCTGGAGCCACTTTGGACTTTGCCAAGCAGGTGAGATTTGAGGCACTGCATCCTGGCAAGAACCTGGGGACCAGCATGTGGGACATTTACATGCTCTGACCTTTTCCTGTTCTTCCCACACAGCTGGGCCATTTCTTTGTGGATCACCCAGAAGATGCTTTTGGCTCCCTGGGGCGTCTGCTACACAAGAACTTCTACCTGGGCAACTCCAAGCTGAAGGTCACTGTCTGTCCATGGGTAGCAGTGCTGTTCCTCACCCTTCCCCTTGCCAGTTTCGATCTCTGACCCCCTCTCCTGTAGAGACCAGCCCGGAAYAGCACCATCCGGATGACAGCCCTGGTGGAGGACATCGACCGCCTGGAGGCCCGACGGTGAGTGTCCCCCGTGTCCTGTAGTGGTCTGGGGGGGCTCCTGCTCTGTCTCCGTGCCTGATGCTATCCATGTTCTGCAGTGGCTGCCCCCGGCAGCACTTGGCCTCCCGCCTGCGCTGGTTCTCGCACCTCTGCCGTGACTGGCTTTTTGAGGTGCCACTGGGGGTGCTGGCAGACTGCTTGCATGAGGAGCTGATGCTACAATGGTCCAACCTGCTCTTCGACGACAGCCTCACCGGCGGGGCTCTGGCCTGGCTGCCGCTCGGAGATGGGGGGACACCCGTGGGCYGCCTGGTGCACCCCGGCGGGCAGGCCATGAACCACCTGTGTATCCTTCCTCACTGGGTGTCTCCGGGGAGGGGARTGGGAGTCATGTTGCACCATCCTTAGCCAGCATCCCAGATTTCCAGGAYGTGGTGCTGGAGGAGCTGCCCCGCACCCGGGGCTCCCCAGCGCAGTTTGAGCTCAATGGGCGTGTACGGCAAGTGGCTGCAGCCCGTGTGGATGGGGAAGGTGAGACAGCCTCTGCATCTCGAGGCAGAGAGGGTGTGGGGAGGAGGGGCAGCAGGGGGCCCCTGGGATCCTGCCAGCTCACAKGCCACCTTCTTTCCCCTGACAGATTTTGTTGGGGTCCGCTCAGATTATCACTGTGGTGTTTGGAGGGTGCCAGGCAGGGCAGGGGCTGCTCCCACCCCACTACAGGTGATCCGCACTGATGTGCCTGCCTCCTGCCTCACTGTCAGGTAGGTGCTGGAGGATGGGGCTGTGTGAGGAGGGAGCTCTGCTGGTGCAGCTCTGCTCTTTGTGGTGGCTGCTGTCACCCAGAGTGATGCTCTGCCCCCCATCCTGCAGCCCTCACCTTCCCGGGGAGCTGTCCGTCTGCACTCAGAGCGGGACCGTCTACCTCTGGAACRTCGAGACAGGGTGAGATGGGGCACTCAGGGCTGTCTGGGGTCTCATGCAGACAGTGGAGCCCCAAGGGGTGGGGGGCCCAAGTGACAAGGGCAGATCAGACCACTGCCATCTTCCCCATAGGCTGCAGCAGCTGCGCTATGACCCCCAGACCATGTTCTTTCGTGACCATTCACCCTGGCGCTGGAGTGACTTCACTGCTCACCCACGGGTGCTGAGCTGTGCTGACCGCACGGGTCTGCAGTGCCTGGATGCCCGGGTGAGCTTGGGAGGGTGGGCATGGGGCTTGGGGCAGGTGGTTTTTCCTCAGCCCAAAGTGCTGACTGTGCCCTGTTCTACTGCTGCAGGCTCCCAAGAGATGCCACTTTGACTTGTTCAAGGTGGGCGAGGAAGCCAACTGCCAGCAGGGCGAGCGTGTGGTGCTGCCCATGTACCTGGGCAGGGCTCACCCCTCACAGTACCTTGTCACCACCCAGGTAAGTCCTGCCACAGGTGGGAGCTGGGGGAGACAGCCCACACAGCTGCATCTCCCAGACCCCGTAGGGCATAGGGATCTCCCAGCTGAGGGGGTTGCCGCTGCATGTTGGGGTGTGCCCTGTCTGAGCCATGCCTCCTGTCCTAGTTCTCGGTGTACATCCTGGATGAGCGATTGCCACTGGTGCCCATTCTGAAGTGGGCACACATGATGAAGGCCCCTCCGCTCTTTGCCCAAGTGATGCCAGGGARCCCTGGGAGGAGCCACAAGGTGCTGCTTGGCGCATCCCGCACCCAGGAGCTGTTGCTGTTGCAATACCGGGGTAAGAGATTGAGCTCCAGGGCCAGGGCTCCTCTGTGCTTGCATCCCAGCCTCCTCACTGCTGGGACCAGCTGCTGCTGGCGTCTATGCTCACCAGACAGTGTTTGGGGTGTTTTCTCAGGGGGCAGCCAGTCAGCCTGTCAGCTAGCAGGGACTCCGCAGAAGCTGCACAGCATCGCAGGGTGCCTGCAGCACCTGCCCACCCAGCTCCCACACCACTACCACCTGCTCCAGCAGCGCCTCACAGCCCCGGCTACAGGTGAGTGTCCCGTGCTGCCCCAGGCTGCAGGTCCTGGTGGGGGAGAAGGTGGGTTGGGATGGAATGGGAGTGTAGCCCTTGTGGCCTGGCTGGAGAATGGCTGAAGAAATGAAAGCAAAGCCCTAAGCAATGCTGTGCAAGAGATTAGTAACATACAAAATGTTGTACAAGGCAGAAGCCAGCATGCCCAGTTAGGGGTGRAGGCAGCCCCCATTTGCTGGCCCGGCCCCTGAAGGATCCTGAGGACCAGAACCTTGGTGACAATGCTTTGCCTGTTCCTGTAGGTCTGGCTGCCACACTGCAGGAGGATGGACCGCACAAGTCCATGCTGGTTTTCCAGCTCTCTGAGGCTGGGGATGTCTTCTGCCAGAGACTGACCCACAAGGCAATACAGCCCCCTGCACCCCCATCAAGGGACGAGGCCACAGCAGCCCCCGGCTCTTCCCCTCTCTTTGAGGCTCCAGCCAGCAGCCCACAGGGCTTGGGTGGTCAGGAAGAAGAGGAGGAAGAGCAAACATTCTACTTGTCCAACCTGGAGGTGATTATCAATGAGGAGGAGGAGGAGGAGGAAGCCATGAGCACACCAGCACCCCTGGGAGAAGCTGAACTCCCACRGGAGCCCTGTGCCAGCCCCCAGCCTTCCCCGGCAGTGCCCAGCCCAGCAGCAGCCCTGCGGTACCGCCGCTGGCTGAGGGCCTTTTCCAGGGCCTGCAGGGAGCCCCTCCGGCACACCTGGCACCCCAGCCTTAGCCAGAGGCGCCTCTTCACCCGCAGAGATCTGGAGGGGCCAGCAGGCCCCAGCACCCTGCAGCAGCAGATGCGCCAGCGGCTGCGCCAGGCCATGCRGGAAGGGGGCCGCATCCAGTGCTGGGAGCATTCAGCTCTCCAGCCCCCTCCCCTGCCGCAGACTCTGGAGCTGGCAGAGGGTCTGGACCCCCTGAGCACCCGTCTAGAAGCATCCTGGGCTGGGGACTGGGACAGGTGGTGGGAGGAAAGGACAAGCTTCAGTGTGGCACAGAGACAGCGAGCACTGCGGGAGCGGCGGCGGAGACAGAAGCGAGCCCGGGGCCACCGCAGCCTTTCAGCCAGYTTCACCTCCTCCCTCACCTACCAGTCAGAGCTGTCCGAGATGAGTGATGCAGGCCCCACACTGCTGTCCCCCAGCCGTCCACCCATTTTCTCCCAGGAGGGCTCCCCGCCAGCTGGCAGCCCCCCAGTTCGCAGTGCTCCGACCTCACCAGCGCCTGAAGAAGCCCTGCTGTCCTCACAGAGCCTGCGCTGCCGCGGCATCCCCAAGGAACGGCGGAAAACACTACGGGACTACCTGTCAGTGTTGGCCGATGGGCCMCCTGAGCCCCCAGAGCCCCTTGGCAGCCAGGCCAGCCAGCTGTTCATCTCTTCCTCCCAGAGCCAGAGTCAGAGTCAGAGCCAGAGCCAGCTGTCCTCTGCCTCGCAGCCCCGCCGCAAGCGCCCACGAATGGGCTTCTGAGTGCAAATAAACTGCGTGGCACAGCCTCCCACCCGGGGTCCTCAAGTGTTTGTAAAGGCACCCAGCCTTGGGGYAGAAGTGGAGGGAGCAGGAGAGGTCGGAGGGTCCCTGCCGGTGTGCTCCGACGGGAGGGTCACCCGCATGCCACGCGTGGTCGCAGGTGGCGCGGGCGCTTTAAGGGGGCGGGGAGCGGGCACGGCGTGTGCGTGACGCGGGCGGGAGCGGCGGCCATGGCGGCGGTGCTGGCGCGGGGGCTGGTGCGGGGCGCGCTGCGCCCGGGGCAGGTGGGCGCGGGGGGACGGGGGGATGGGGTGGATCCCGGCGTAAGGGGGGACACATCGGAGTGTGGGGGAACAGGGGCATTGGGCTGGATTCGCACCGTGCTCGCCGTTGCTTCCACCTTCGGGCAAAGTCCGGGACGGGCATAATCGCCAGCCCGCGCACCCGCAAGCCGCGGCACGGGGCCTTGGAGCACCCGTGTGCATCCACCCCCATCCCAGCCTGCGCCCCCGTGGGCACAGATCCTTGTCAGCTCCGTGGACAGTCCCCTGTTACCCCGTGCGCACAGCCCCTTGTCACCCTCGTGGGCTCAGCCCACTGTCCACACTGCGGACTATTTCCTGTCACCCGTGTGCACACAGCCCCCCATTAGCTCCCTGCACATCTGCCCCCTATTGCCGCCATGGGTGTTACCCCCATGTGCACCTTCCTATTGCCCCATGTGGATTCCCTGTCACACTCAAGCATCACCCCCATGAGCACCTCACCATCACCCCTGTGTGCACCCCCAGGACCCCTGTATGCATCCCACCACTCTGCACATACCTCCCCCACCACTTCACCCATCACCCCATTTGCTACTGAACACCCCCACATGCATCCCCACCCTTATCCCAGCGTGTACTCCATGTCACCCCCATGTGCATTGCCCCACGTGCCCCCCTCCCCTCCATCATCCTTGCATGCACAAYCCCCCACGTGCCCCTGCCACCCCCGCCACCGTGTCCATGTCCCCATGCCCACAGGCCGTAAGCCCCGTGTTCGCTCAGCTGCAGCGGTGCAGGTCAGCACCCAGCGGGCGGGATGGGGAGGTGGGCAAGGCGCACCGGGCAGCAGTGGGCAGCGAAGAGGCAGGAGGGCAGCCCACCATCTTCAGCAARATCATTGACCGCACCATCCCCGCCACCATCCTCTATGAAGATGACAAGGTAGCTGGGACAGCGGGACATGTGACCCCACTGGGGCAGGGGGCAGAACCCACGGRTGTGGGGCTTACCCTGCTCCCCCTGGCAGTGCCTGGTTTTCCGTGATGTGGCTCCCCAAGCCCCYGTGCACTTCCTGGTGATCCCCAAGCGCCCCATCCCCCGGATCAGTCGYGTGGGTCCCCAAGACACTGAGGTGAGTCCAGAGGGTCCCTGGGACATTGGTGGTAGGGGTCATACAATGCTGACCTTCCCACTCCCCCCTCCTTCAGCTTCTGGGGCACTTGATGGTGGTGGCAGCACGCACGGCGCAGGCAGAAGGGCTGGCTGATGGCTACCGCCTYGGTGAGTTGGTGTCCCCTGCCATGGTCTGGGGCAGAATCTTTGTGGTCCTGAGAGGCTGTGGGCACAAGGCAGTGGCCTGACCCTTGTCCCTCTCCTGACAGTGATCAACGATGGGAAGCACGGCGCACAGTCTGTCTACCACCTGCACCTCCATGTACTGGGGGGGCGGCAGATGGGCTGGCCTCCTGGCTAACCCCCACTGTCCCCCAATAAAGCATCTCCTTGGTGGCAACTTCACTCTSCATCAGGGTGGCTTTCTTGAGGGTGGAGGCGGCTGGCCTGGTGAGGGCTGGCTTCCATTGTCACAGCAGTAGAGAGCTGGTACCCTACCCTGCTTTGCTCTGGGCTGCCCACATTCCAATCTGCCCATGCTGGAGACGCTTTGGAGCCTCACAGTTGAAGTAAAAGGGTTTTGTGGGGCTGCCCACAACTCAATGGCAGAAGACTCGATGCTGGGCTGGGGGAGCAGGCTGGGTGCCACAAGGGTGTCCCCAAGCTGGGGAACATCCCAGGGGTATCAGTAGCACCATGTCCAGGGCTGCCCACCCAGCCCCACTGGCACCACACAGCCCCAGCATCCCTGAATGCCCCKGCTCTGCCTCAGATTGCTCCCCCGCCAGCACCTCTGCTGTCGCCAGAGCTCTGTGCTGGACCYTGATGTTTCCCTGCTTTTCAAAAGCAGTTAATTGCACTAGATTGATCTAAAAGCTCTTGGAGCACGCTTGTTGACTGCACATGTACTTCTTGTCCACCCCAAAGGGGCCTCTCTGGGAGCTTCCAGGAGGACCATAGCCCTGAGCAGAGCACAGGGCAGGACACGCTGTGGGGTGGGTGGATCTGCTGCCCGCTCCCTGTCACCGGTGTACTCCCCACGCTGCATCAGCCACACTGCGTGCTGTGCAAAACTCTGCTCACCCCATATCCCCCAGCTGTGCACCCCTGTGGGAAACTCACTGTGCTTCTCACCCCAGACCCCTCCAACCGCACACTGAGAAACACGCATTGCAAAATTCACTCCAGACCCCCATAACTGCGAGCCACCGAGGGAAACTGCGTACTCCAGACCCCCCTGCACACAAAGCGCCGCCAGCACGGTGCATGCACGGCGCTGTTTACACCCCAGTCTCCTTTCTGCACGTGTGCCCGCCGGCCCCGTGCGGGGAGCACACGCTGGGGCTCGGTGCATGTGGCCGCCCGCTCCCTGCCGCGTGCCTCCCGCTGCTCCGTGGCCGGGTGCCGTGCCTATATTTAGTGGCAGGGGCCGGTGCTGGCGCGGTGCACGACCCACCTGGCACCGCCGTCGGGACCGCCTGGGCCCCCGCCAGCCGGCGCGCAGGGGACCGCAGCCCGCCGGGGAGAATGGCGGCTCTGTTCATCCCCCGACTCGGTGGCGCTGGCGGCGGGGGGCCCCCGGGAGCTGTGTGGGGCTGTGGCAGAGCCCAGTCACTTCCCACACATACACACCCAGTATAGTATGGGGGAATGTTTTCGGGGTGTAAATGAGCCTTAAAATTGTTGATGCTGCTGCTTCCTGCCCCTGAGGCTCAGGGCGGGTTGGGGGCCACTTTTGGACTCAGGACAGCCCTGTCTCAGGGGTGGGTACCCACCCCAAAGACGGGTTGGGTGTCCCTGGGGAGGTGGGGACGCTAAAGAGGGGTCAGGAATTCCCAGGGCGTTATCCCCCAGGGCTCGCCCGGAGCAGTCCCCCAGGGAGTGCTGTACTGGGCACAGGGCACGGGCTGGCACGCGAGGTCAGGGCCAGTCGCCTGCCATCGCGTTTCTTCCTGTGCCAGGTTTATTTTGTCAGTCCCCGAGCAGCGGCGGGGCAGGACAGCGGTCACAGCCCCATGGGGCCGAGGCGGGGGAGGAACGGGGGCCAACGGCTGTTTTGGTTCCTCAGCCGGAGAGGATCACAAATGACGCAAGTTCCCAAAAGAGCCGGGCGGGGGGGCTGCGAGGGATGTGTCAGCCGGCGAGAGGCAGCCAGATGTGCTCCAGCAGCTCCAGGGCTGCTGCCCCGTGTTGATGCTGCCAGAGCACAGCCCCACAGCGATGCCCCATAGGCCACTCCAGGGTGGTTTGCCCCAAGGTGAGTGCACACCCCCGGGGTGGCATTGCCAGGCTCCCCGTTCTACAGTGTACTGTGTTGCTGTTAATGTCCCTTCAGTGTCCCTGAGCCATCCATGCTGCCTGGCCAGGCTTTTGGCAAGCCCAGGTGTGTTTGCTGGRGAAACTGGRCATGCGCCTGCGAAGACCACCCAGSGGTKGGTGATCCCCAAGCTGCCACCCCTTTTAGCATGAGCGGGGCTATGGGTACATCTCGGCAGCTACCGCTGGGCTGTGACTGAGCATGGGGCACGATCAGCAGCATGCACCCCAAAACCCTCACAGCGAACTGCCAGCCCCGGGAGCACCCTGGCACCCCCCTCCAGCGGCAGCCAGGGCCGATGTGGCCCSAGCATGGGGGAGCCATGAGATGAGCTCGGGACACGTCTCTCCCTCCTCCCCGCAGCTGTGCGGCAGAYGGGCTTGGAGGAGCCCCTGCTTGGCACGGGGCCGAGCGCCCGCAGGGAGGAGCGGTCCCCAGTGGGGGCCCCCCCCGACCGGCCAAAGCCAGAGGGGCCGAGCACATCCCCGGCCAGGAAAAACAGAGGCCCCAGCGTGGAGTGCACAGTGCCCCGYCGGCGCACACCGCAGAGCACTGGAATAACAGCCCTCGCTCCCGAGCCCGCCGCTTGCTATCAAAGGGCCCTTCTTCTGCTCGGCCTCTGCGGGGATGGGGCCGGGGGCCCAGCGAGGGCCGGTGGTGAGGAGAGGCAGCTGCTCCACGCCGGCGGGCACCGGCTGCACCCAGCCAGGCGCCGGGCACGTCCCGCCCCATCACCCTAGGCCGGCGGGGCTCCCTGGGGCAACCGGTGTGGGGGTGACGTGCGTCAAGTCGTGGGGACCAGTATGTCCTCAGGAGACCTGGACACGTCCCTCCTGCTGCCTCAGTGGGGCTGTGCTGGCCCTGCCCAGGCGCGGTGCACCCCCGAGAGCCCCGGCGGCCACCCTGCCCCCGGGAGCGCGGGAGCCATGGACCGCAGACATGGGGACAATCCCGGTGCTGCAGTGCCGCGCGGCACCCTTGTGTCGCTGCAGTCCCCTGCCCCCATCCCCCTGCACCCCCATCGCTCCGCATTCCCATCCCCTGCGCCCCCATCGCTCCGCATTCCCATCCCCCTGCACCCCCATCGCTCCGCATTCCCATCCCCTGCGCCCCCATCGCTCCGCATTCCCATCCCCTGCACCCCCGTCCCTCGGTGTCCCTGCACCCCCATGCCCCCTCATGGCACCCCCTCCCTCGCCCCGCCCCCTTGCCCACAGACCACGCCCATTATAGTGTCTAACTCAGCCTCTTGCCCCTCCCACTGCGGGCTCTGGCCCCGCCCCCCGCCGGGGCTCTCCGCCAATGGGAGACGGGCATGCCACGGCTCCACCCACGGGCGCGCGGCCGGCGCTCTCCGTTTCCATGGAGACAGGCGCGTCCCGCCATGCGCATGCGCCATGCAGCCGGCAGCCGGCCGCACCAGGGCCTGCGGCCCGGGCCACCTGCACCGACCCCCGTTGGGGTAACCCCCGCTGGGGACAGTCGGGGACACGGCCTGAGGAGCGTTAGGGGCCGGGGGAATGAGAACATGGGGAGCTGGCAGCAGGGAGGGGGCTGAGCCCAGGCAGGGGTGTGGGAAGGGTGTTGCTGCGGGTGGTCAAGGGAGCAGGAGGGAGTTATGGTGGAGGAGACCCGTCCAGATCGCAGACGCAGCAGCACGCACTGGTTCTTGTCCCCCAAACGGAAAGGAATCCCTTCTCCCCTGCCTCAGTGTGGGGGTGACACTGCAGAGGACCCGGGGTCAGGTCCCTGCCCGTGCTGGTGAGGGCTGGGATGTGGTTGGCATTGGAGGATGCACTCCACTGCTCTTCTTCAGGGTCTTTTCCCACCCGCAGGGGCCTTCCAAGGAGCCATGGGTCTCCCACACACCCTTGGGAGAGGCCACTGTACAGGGTCCGGCTTGATGAGCGAGTGCCTGAGGTGCCCATAGTGAGGCTCCCGTGCCGCACTGAAACACTGACCACCACCGCCAAGAGGCTCCGGGAGATGTCAGGCACAGCCGAGCTGCCCCAGGAGACATCAGACACAGATGACCTGCCCACTGAAACCCAACCAGCYGAGCCCAGTACAGAGCCATCCCCAGAGACAGGGAAGGATACTTCTGAGACTGACAAGCTGCCTCCCTGGCTTGGAATGTGGGGGACTGGGGCAGAGAAGTCTCCCATTGAATTGCCAGTGTTGCCCCCCATCCCACCCCCGCCAGAAGAGAAGCCCCGGCGGAGCCGCTTGACCCGCAACTGGCAGGAGGAGGTAACTCCATAAGGCTGGTGCTCCTCAAAGCCGGCCCCATCATGTCCCACCTGCTGGTCTTGTGAAGCTCCCTGCTCCTGGGCAGACCCCTCTCTTTAAATAGCTGCCCAGATGACCTTGAGCCCAGCACGATAGAAAAGGGATGAAATCCAATAGCACAAAAGCACTGGCAGGTGCATGGGGAGTAACAGCAAGGCTTTGGGAGGGAGCCTGGGATCCTGCTGCTGGGGAGCAAGAGCTRTGTGTYACAGCCCATCCCAGTGATGTGGGGATGCCTGCTTGGGCAAGCAAGGCTGGGAGCATCTGATGGGCTAAGCTGTGTCACAGCTTAGGGACCTCACAGGTTGTTCAAGTGCCATAGGAGCACTTGCCCTGGGGCAGCCTGGGCCCCCAGGTACTTGGAACAGCTGTACAAGGCTGACTGGCCTCCCTGATCCAGATTTCCCAGGTTTCTGGCCAGAAAGACCATAACCCCTCTTAGCAGCTTATGCCTCTAGGGTGATCAAAAGCCCAAAGCCAGGAGTGGACATGGGGCACAGCAGTATGGGCCCCTGCCCTTTTCCACAGCCCCCACGGTCCATCCCCAGATAATCGTGGACCCTCTGGACTCTCGGCCACAGAAGCATCTGGGCAGCAAGGACTCCCAGCAAGGCTACCAAGGGCTGCCACTCCACCAGCTTCTCTCCTCAAACACCGACAGCACCCCGCCGAAGGACTACGCACCTCTCAGGGCCCTCCTGCTGGGGCAAGGTGAGGCTGAAACCCCCAAGCTATGCGCACCCCCAAAAGGCAGCAGGGGATTTTTATCTGGGAGCCTGATGGCACCTTCCCCTCTGCAGGGCAGCGGAAAGCCAAACTGGCAGCCATGCTCTACGAGAAATACAGGCAAGCCTTCACCCCTGCATGACACCCACCCTTGGGGCTATGGCCCAGATGAGAGGACCTGGGGGGGTGGGGATGCCAGAGCTGAAGGGTGCGGGGTCTGCTCTGACTGCAGTAAGGAAATGGAGGAGGAGATCCGTCCTCCACCGAGCCCCATGGAATCCATCTCCACCACGCACCATGACTACAACGCCATGGGTTTCCAGTCCACACCCCAGCCCACCACTCAGGTACAGGCAGTAAACATCCCCCCCACAGSCTGCAGCAGCCTCCAGAGAGGCTGCACGGCTCCTGTGTCCTGCCGARCATGCCATCCCCCCCGCCCACATTTTGCTTTTACCGCAGCCTCACGACTACTTAACGGAGCAGCCATCCAGCTTCTGGCTGGAGCAAGCCCGAGAACGGCCGGTAAGCCCCCCACCACCCTGCCCTGCCAGCACCCTGGGGGTCTCAGCTGCTGACAGAGACCTCTGCAATTCTCCCCTCTCCAGGGTGACACCACCATCTTCGGCAGAAACGTTCCCTTCAAGAAGAACACAGCCTTCTCCACTCCCATTACCATGTACCTAGGACATCCCGAGCCCTTCAACCTCAATAACCCCTATGACCCGCTGAGCAGCCAGCTCCAGCCCTACAGGAAATAAAAAGCAAGGGGACACAGGTGGTCCCAGCATCCTTGCCTCCCCCAAGGCTGTCCTCAAGCTGGATATTTGGAGGGGGAGCACCGTGTCCCTGGGATCTCAAATCCTGTGTGACTGTGCAGCAAGATGGGAAACCCTTCAGCCACTTTGCAAGTCACCGTTGACCTAAAACACGCTGTGGCTTCAAGACTCCCTCCTTGGGCATGGAGGGAGAGCCCCTGGCACAGCCCCATCCCCTGGGACATGTCCCCTCCCKGCTCATGCAGCGGGTGACACACAGCCGCTGTTCCAGTCCCCAGGCACAGGTGTGTTCCAGYAAGAGGCGGCAGCGGGGCAGCCAGAGCATGAGCTCAGAGGAACGCACTGCAGCCCTCACGCCAAAGCAAACCCCGCCACGGCAGCCCTGCCTTCCCAGCACCGCCCAAGCCCTCAACAGCCGCTGCTGCGACTGCCCGGCACCAGCTCCCYGTGCCCACAGCCCGGCCCTACGCCACAGACAGACCCCTGGGAATACAATCTCTTGGGATTTTTCAGGCAGCCGTCCCCAGTCCAGGATGGATTCCATATTGAGGTCCCCCCTGACCCCCCTCCCCACTTAGCACGCTGGGGCAGAGTGAAGCAGAGGTCACAGGACAGATGGATCTGGGGAAGTTTGTATTTCAACAAAATAGTTGCAGCGAGTCCTATATTTACACCTGGAGGAGGGGTGGGTATTTACATGACCCGGTGGGGTTATATACAGGGGAAGGGGAGACTGGGGAGGGGGGGAGCTGCGGCATTGAAGCCTGACCTGGCCAAGGAGTCAGTCTTGGCAGGAATCCCCATTTCCCCCCACCCCAGGGAGGGTTTGACACGGGCACAACTTCTGCTGGGGGCCAGGTACTGAAAAGAGACGGCAAAGTGCCCTGCGGAGCAGCCAGGCCCCGGAGAAGCTCAGAGCCAGCTGAGCCACAGGGGAGAGGGCAGGGGTGGCAGAACTCAGAGGGTGGGAGGGATACAAGGTCCCTGGGCTGGGTCAGGGCTGGTTACCCCACTCCAGCAGAGGCTGTGGGGAAGGTGGGCTTTGCTGGTGCTGATGGAGGGGGGCAGGCGGTGCTGTGGCCGCTGCCCCACCTTGCCCAGGCCCTGCTGAAGCAGGGGGGCTGCAGAGGCGGTGGTGGATGCAGTGATGGGGGGGTGCCAGTGCATCCTGGAGCACTGGAAAGCACTGGCGGCCCCATTGAGCTGGGGCTCTGCCATAGTCACTGGGCTCAGAAGACTTAGGGGTCTTTCCTCTCGCCCAGCAGCCAGTATGTCCGCATCTTTCCCTTGCCCTGGAGGCAGAGGTGAGCAAGTCAGACCCTGCCTGCCTCTGGAGCTGCTCCTTGGGTGTCATGCCCAGCATTGAGGGCAACAAAGGCCCAATGGCCCCAACCCACCTCCCTATCACATTCCCCTGTGGTAGGAAGGGCTGGTATCCCACCAGCATCCTTGTGCCCTCACCTTCATCTCCACATCCCCACGCAGCTCCAGGTCAAAGCAGCCGAACTCATCCAGGACTTCTTTGGTGGCAGATGAGACATGGATCTTCAGGGCTGGGTAGCACAGAGAGACATGGCTGRGTCTCCTTGGAGAGGGACACACCCCATGGCTCCCCCAGCTGCCAGCCCGTGGCTTACCCTGGCCGTTGGATTCCATGCGGGACGCGGTATTCACCGTGTCCCCAAAGAGGCAGTACCGCGGCATCTTGAGACCCACCACTCCGGCACACACGGGACCTGCAGGCACAGAGGCGCTCGGGAATGCTGCAAGGTGAGGCCAGCACCCCCAGCCAGCTGGMACAGAGCCTCACCGGTGTGTATGCCAATGCGCAGGTGGAGCTGGTCGTTGGGACGGTGACGGATCTTGAAGGTTTTGACGGCCTCGAGCAGGGCCAGGGCCATGCGGACAATCTCACGGGCATGCAGCTTCCCATTGCGCACCGGCAGCCCCGAGACCACCATGTAGGCATCCCCAATGGTCTCCACCTATGGGGGCAGGGGGAGCAGGTACAACTTGGGCTCCTTGCTGCCTGCCTCACTTTGGGGAGCTGTGCTTGCTCACCATCCCACTCACCTTGTAGACATCAAAATTGTCAATGATGGCATCAAAGCAAGTGTAGAGATCGTTCAGCAGCATGACCACCTGGATGGAACAAGGGTGTGTGTGCAGGTGGGTGTAGGCATGTCCACCCAAGCCAGGGCGTGAGACCCCCACCAGCCCCACAGAGGTGCTGCCCCCCAGCCCTGCTCTCACCTGCATGGGTGTGCTCTCTGCCGAGAGGGCAGTGAAGCCCACGATGTCACTGAAGTAGATGGTGACACTGTCGAAAGCCTCAGCCCGCACTGTCTCTCCACGCTTCAGCTGCTCTGCCACAGAGCTGGCAAGGATGGTGGTGAGCTCTACCCCAAACCCCCATTCCCCCTGCAATGCTTGCCCCACACCAGCATGGAAAGCTGGCAAGGGACCCCATGCTTGCACAGCAGCGGGTGCATGCTGAACCCCTGCCAACCCTCAGACCCACACACTCCCTTCTATCCCCCTCTCACTGGGGCAGAATCTGGTAGAGAAGGTTCTCCGCCTTGCGCTTCTCCTCCAGGTAGGCCTGTGTCCTCTCTTCCACCAGCTTTTCCAGGTTGTTGGCGTACTGCTCCATGCGTGACAGCAGGTTGTCCAGGATGCTGGTGCTTCCCTCCCTGCAGGGGTGCAAGCAGCTGGCACTGCGGGAACAGGTGCCCCCCAACCACCACCCTCACAGCAGTCCCCACTCCCACCCAGGGCCACCGTCCCCACATGCCAACCACCCACTTGTTGAATCTACGGATGAAGATCTTGATCTGGCTGAAGTCAGGGCGCTCGGCCGGCTCCTGTGCCCAGCAGCGCTCCATCAGCACTGCCAGCTCCTCGCTGTGCACCCCGATGTCGATGGAGGGGCGGAARAAGGGCTTCTGGCTGTTACGCACCTTCTGCACAATCTCTGCCAGGGAATGGTGATCAGTGRACACCAGGCCTCGCTGGTGGGGACAGGACCTCCCCACACATGCTCCCCATCCTCACCTTTGGGGCTCAGGTCCATGCCCTCAATGTAGAAGGGGCCATTGCGCAGAGCGACCTCCTGGACGATGATGCCAAAGCTGTAGACATCAGCTTTCTGCATGCCCGGGGTGGGCAGGTGCCCCTTCTGCAGCAGCTCYGGGGCTGTCCACAGCTTCTCTGGTRGGACAGAGCAATGGAGCAGTGAGACAGGGCCACCCCACCCCACTGGGTCCCCTTAGGCAGGCACTCACTGGCATAGAGCGCATGCGTGTCCTCGTTGTCGCTGGGTGAGCGGAAGCTGGCCAGTCCGTAGTCGGTGATCTTCAGCACAAAGCGGCTGTCCACCACGCAGTTGGATGACTTGAGGCTGCCGTGATGGCCAATGATGCTGTTGTGCAGGAAGGCCATTCCCTGGGACAGACAGACACAGTGAGGTTCATGTCTCTCAGGCACCTCCCCTTGCCCCTCGTGCCCCTCAGTTGTGTACCTTGACAATGTCATTGATGAGCGAGTAGCGAAACATCCAGTCCAAGTTGATGCTCTCGTTCTCCAGGACATCCTGGGGTTGCACATGGAGTGAAGCCCACCAAGCACCCAGGACATGCTGACAGCAGCCCCACCACATGCCCAGCTGTGGGGATCTGCAGCACCCACCCCCACCCCTCCACTGGCCTCTGATGSCTGCTTGGACAGCTCAGCTGTGAGCCTTATAGGGCTCAGGTGGCCACCAGCATCCACAGCCCTGTTCTCAATGCCCAGCCCAACCGGGTCACCAGGACTGTCTGTCACCCTCAGTGTCCCCAAGCCCTGCTACCTGCAAGCTGCCCCGTGGGCAGTACTCAGTGATGATGCAGATGTTGGGGGGGTCGATGCACGCCCCGATGAAGCGGGTCAGGTGGTTGAACTGGATGTCCCGCATCTGCAGACGGAAATGGACCCAAGGCAGTCTTGAGCTCAAAGGAGATGTGCTGCTGCTCCTACTGCCCTCCCGCACTCTCAGGACCGTCCTGCACCCCCCAGCACATTGCCAACCCCAACCCTGACCCGAAACCTACATGTTTGAGCTCGAAGAGCACCTGTCGCGTCAACTCGATGCGCTTCTTGTTGATGTGCTTAATGGCCACAACGTTGCCCTGGGGTGTTTGGAAATGGGAAGAGGTCAATGCCCACCAGGTGAATTTGGGAACAGGAGAAAAGCACCAACATCCTTCGGGGTGGGGATGCAGCCAAGGGGGAGCACAACAGAGCTGGGGCATTTCAGGGGGAGGGCTCAGCTTCCTGTGTGCTGCACTGACCTTGAAGTGGCCGGTGTTGGCGAAGATCTGGTACTTGCCATGGGTGGTCATCAGGGAGCCGTAGCTGGAGCCACGCTGTGGGAAGGAGGAGATTAGGGAGGGGAATCCTGGGGTGGAGGCCTGGCAGGCACTGATGGAGCAGGKCATGGACATGCAAGGGTGTGCAGGGAATGCTGCAGGATGGGCTCTAAAGGGTCAGGACAAGCTCTGCATGCTCTGTAGGAAGGGTGAAAATTCTGGGATGAGGCATGGTGCACTGCATGGAGTGTAGGACGTGGATAAGGTGTTTGTGTAGGGGATGGAGGGCCGCAGAGGGGCTTGATGATGTATAATGCTATATATGGGATTCAGGGTTGTGTAGGGGATGGATCTGTAGCTCTACAGGGGATGGAAAGTCATGCCAGGGATGGATGGAGCATGTCTTCATAGGGGATAGGGAACTCTGTAAGGATGAAAGGCTGTGTTGGGGAGAGAGGCAATGGCACTGTGGCTCTGTAGGAAACAGAGTGCCATGTGAGGGATCAGCAGGGAGGGATGTTGTGCAGGGAGGGAAGGCAGCAGGAGGTGCTCCAGGGATGGCTCCTCTCACCAGGGACAAGGTGAGACGGCTGCCCGCTGCTTTGTGGTACCGCTCAGGACTYCCAAACTGCAGCTCATCCCAGCGGATCCTCCAGAGCATGCTGGCAAGCTCCTTCTCCA